CGGTGGTGCAGGGGAGCAGGAGCAAGGCCACGCAGGAGTCAGCAGCATTGAAGGGCTCTGTGCTGGCAGAACAATGGGTTTGCTCCAGGCACAGCTACTGACTTTTAACAGCTCTTTGCCAGTAACCCCATACGGGATTGCATCATGGAAAATCCTAGTGGAAAGCCAGGAACAAAGGAAAGATGTCAGGCTGCTTTTAAAAGGGACTTGTTCTCAGGGCAGAGGAAGCCCTTTGGTGGCCAGGGTGGGAGGCTCACAGCCAGAGGAACCTGGGCTCCCTTAAAGACTGGAGGCAAATCTGGAGACATGCACCAGATGGGAGAGCAGAGAAAAGGGCAATGCTCAGGAGGCAGCAGCTTTGCCTCGCTCTGCAGCATCTCTGCATCGTCTGGGGACAAAGTGTGTGTGTCTGTGTGGAAAAAATTCCTATGCAGGCACTGTGTCCATTTACTGAATTGTCCCCATGGTCCCCCAAGAGTCCACAGTGCCCATCAGCACACAGGATGCAACAATGCCCATAAACTACAGAGCTCTCATCGCTGATCCAACATCTTCAGAAAGGGAGGCAGGCAAGGGGACACTGTTCAGGCTTGGCTACCTGACCTCTTAGTCCAAGGGTCTTAGGTGTTGTCAGTTTTAGTGCATGAGTGAGAAACCAGATTTCAAGAGGAGCTTTTCCCTATTTGCACATAGGCATCTCTGCCTTTCCCTTCCACTCCATTCCTTGGCCAAACAGTCTGGATTTGGGGCAGGAAATCGCTCCAAAACTCCAATGCTCCCACCACGCTTGTGGGCACACAGGGCCAGATGGAGCACGGTCATTCCTGCAGCACCCGGCCAGCTCTCACTGCTGCAGACAGTGCTGGACACTGCTCTGTGCCACCTTCCTCTCAGTAATACTCGGACTGCTGCTGGATAACCGAGATCACAGCTCACTGGTGTGAGAGCCCCAGACCAGACTGGACATCTCCATCACCTTGTCCCAGCCATCTCCAGAGATGACAGCTCCAGCAGAGGAGCTCACCCCTCTCCTGCCTGCAGCACGCACCCTGCTCAGAACCTTGCTGCCAGCACCGCACGAGGGGACCAGGAGCACCGTTGTTTCCACAGCACTGGGGCATCCCATGGGATTGTGCTTGGTGGGTTCACTCCTGTGGGTTGCAAGGAAAAAAATCCCCAAACCAACCTTTTATTTCCTAATGCCCTGAGAAATTCTGACAAGAAATTGGAAGAGTGAACCTGATGTCAGATGGGAAGAGAGACCCTGTGCCCATCAGCTTCATTTAAGGCTTGGAGCTGGCTCCATCTCTCAGAAGCTTTCCCCCCTGCAAGTATCGGTTCCAATATATGGCTCAGATTTGGCCTGCCTTCATTCACACGCTTTTATGCCTGGCTTTACCAATAATATTCTAACAAAGGCATTTACTGTCAGGAACATTTACGAAAATGGCAAATAATAGAGACCTCATAAACACAGCAATTCAGACCAGAATCTGGTTCTGAAAGTCACGTACTAGTATTTAAGGGAAGAAACAATGCCGTGTGAACATTCACCCAAGCCAAAGTCACCAGCACAGCTGAGATTTCAACCATTCAGTAGCAACAGGTTCATTATCAAGATATATTGCCTGAATTATTCCTAGATGTTATTCAGAGAATTATTTCAAATAATTAATATATGTAAGAAAATTACTGGCTCTGAACAGAAGAATTGAACTTGTCACATTAGAGCTGAATAAATGCCCTGTGACTATTCACTGCCCTGCTTTTGGATACATTAATTGCACCAGATCCAATCTTTAACCCCATTGGGACTAAAGGAAATGCTCTCCCGTGGCTCTGCTTGCTGTGGCTTGGGACACAATCCCCAGGGAGGGACACCATCCCTCTCTCTGTAGGGGGACCATGGCCTTATCTCATGGGCTCTCCATTGTATTTCAGGAAGGAGACTCCAAGTTTCACCTTTCCCTTACCCCTGGGTAATTCCTGTGGTCTTCGGTGGAGCCGTGGTTACACCTCTGTGCACAGAAGAATTGCACCAGGTTTAATCTTGTCCCCAGTTCATTGTTCCAGCATCTCAGAGGAGGTGCAGGAAACACGGCGAGTGGAGGGAGGTGCTGGCAGCAGCAGGCAGGACCCGGCGGGCACAGCCAGGGATCAGCCCTCCCAAAGCCAGGGCAGGCTGGAGCCGGGGATCCGCATGCTGAGGAACACGAGCGTCTTGATGCTGCTTGTGCTGGTTCAGGAAGAGAAAAGTGATCACAGGCAAAACGTCCAAACATAGAAAACATGGGAGAAATCACATCAGGAAGTTGAATTCCCCAATTTTGTGCCTTCGCAGACAAATGCAATGTCCCTGCAGGGAACCAGGACCCCAGAACAGCCAAGCCCTCTCCTTCTTCTGTCCTATAACAGGGTTGGAAAGGGCAGGCACGAGGCTGCAGGGTGGGGACAAGAACCAGAGATCCACAGTAACCCCATGTTTTGATAACACCTTCACCAAGTGGGTTGGTTTCTGTCCCTACAGTGCCTCACAGACACCAGAAACTGCTGTAGCTCCCTGTGCCCAAAGCAGAACACAGCCCCATCAATGTGCATTTGCATCAGAGGTGACTTGTGTCCCACAGCTCCTGCCCTTCATGGTCACCCAACCTATCTCCATCACCTGTATGAGCAGCCTTGCCCCTGGGATCCCTTCAGCACACATGATAAAGCCCAAGAAGTAAGGGTGCAGGATCAGGCTTTGGATGGAGAAGAATAAAATATATATATACACACACATAAGACAAGTAGAATAACTAAGGGAAGAGGCATGCTTACATGGAAGTTGCTAAATAGGTGACTTGTTAGCTGCATGGTGGCCAGGACACTCATTGTTTCTTGTCCTGTTATTACCAAGGGCTCGATTCTCATGCAAACCCAGGACAGGCTTAACCTAACAGAGGGCAAGACCAACCGCTGAGCAGGTTTTAGCCAGCAAAGCAGCGTCTAGGAGAGGGATTTGGGTAAGGAAGGGGCCCAGGCATCCCAGTGGGATCTTTGGCAAGCCCTTGGCCATGCAGCTCACAGTCTGGGAGCACCCTGGCTGCCCCAGAACAAGCAGAGCCCCAGGAGCCAGGACAACTTCTCTGCACCAACAGTCGGCACAGAAAGTGACAGCAAGAACCGGGAGGATCTGAAAGAGGTTCTTAGCTGCACCCCCACCTTCCCCCCCCCCCCCCCCCGTTTTTATTTGCCTGAGTGACAGAGGATTTAAATGCAAAGTGGATCTAATGCACACCCTGAAGTCGGCTGGCAGTATGCAAATGACCTGTCAGATTAAAATCTGAATGAAAGAGATAACAAGCTTATCTTCATAACAAAAGACTCTTACGGGCAAACTGTTTGACGCGGTGTTGATGTTTGTTTTAACCCGTGGACTTTGGACAGTGCAATATTTCGGGGGCTGCGCTCCCCTCCGCACGGCCGCGTGTGTGCGGGCTGGTGTTTGCGCTGGCAACAAAAGGCAAGCGCTGGGATAATAAGAAGAGCAAAAAAAAAAAGAGAAGCAGAATGAGGGCTCTAACAGTTGATTTCAAAGTCTTTTTCTGGGGGGGGGGAGCTCTGCAGAGCCAGTGCCAAGCAAACCAGCAATGGGTCAACTCACGCTTGCGACCGGCGCTACAGCTGCAGCGAGAATAAGCAAACACAGCAGCAGGGGGAAAGAATGAAAGCAAGGGGCTGGGGGCGAGGCGGACGGCTCATTCTTGTGGCACGTGCAGAGGGGCTGGGGATGGATCAGCTGTATTTATTCTGTGAAAAGGGGAAAGAAAAGGAGGCAAAAGAGCAAAGCAAGTTTCATCGCACCAGAGAAAACAAAGATTTTCAATCAACTCCCCATCACTCTCCCCCCCCCCATCCAGGGAAAAAGGGGAGAGAAGGAAAAAAAACATTAAGCTGCAGGTGTTGGTGCGGGGTCTGTATAGAAACCATGCAGGGAATTAGCAACTGAGGCAAGTTGCCTTTGGAAAAAGAATCTGCCCTGAATAGATTTGCATTTCTTCATTTAGGGATCACCAGCGCACAAGAGCCAAGTGCACCCCTCTTGCAGCACTGGGGGCTTCAAAGGGTGCAGGGAGGTGGGGGCTGCTGCTGGGGCTCCCGCTGGGGCTGAGCTTCCCTCTGTGCTGGAGCTGAGCAGACCCCCAGCCCCAGGTCCCTCCGACCACCCTGCTTTATCCTCCTGGTACAATGGGAAGCATGGGAGCACTGAACGCCATGCTCCTCGCCCAGAGAAACTGTCACCGAATCCTCCCCTTTCAGGTCCTTCCCAATCCTCTAACCCCCCTCAGTTCATGCCCTGCTGCTCTCTTCTCTCCCTGCTGGGAAGTGAAAGCCCATGGAGAGGGAAAAAGCCTTCTCCCAGAGCCCTCCAGTCAGTCCTAAAGCCACCAAGCACAAGTCACAAGCATTTCCGCAGGCTGTGATTCACTCCGATGCCAAACCCCTTTGCTGCAGGAGCCAGCAGGGACATGCCCATGCCTCAAGGACAGCAGCAGGAGCAGAGCCCCAGCCCTGAACCCCTTGGCAAGGGCTGGCTGCGTGCCCTTGCACACAGGCTCAAAGCTCTCATTTCCCTGATGAGTACTTGCCTGGTCTGCTTGGCTTGGAACCTGCACCAGCAAACCACAGCAGTACCAGCAAACCAAGGCAGTGCCACCAAACCACAGCACTGCTGTCCGCTCCTTTAAAGAGCAACAAATCCCAGCTGCATCTCACACCCAAACAATTCCCTGATGCTTTTCCTAAGGGTCACATTCTGTCAGAACTGTTCCAGTATTTCAGAGGGTTGCTTCCAAAATATGTTCTAAGCCTCATGCACACACTTCAAACTCATGTTTCCCCCTCCTTTATGGCTGATTCAAGAAAACCAGAAGAAGCAAGGGTTGGATGGTGCATGGAACATCCTCAACTTGGTTGGGTAAGTGCAAACCCTCTTGCCTAAAAAAGCAGGGAGATTTAGTTAAATTCTATCACTAAAGTGCTGGAGCCAGACAAGAGGTTCACCAAAGCCCCAGCCACCTTGCAGCTTTAGCTCCCAACTTGGCTGTTCCTTGAAGGAACATCTGTTCTTCAAGCCCAAATGATCAATGGTCTAAAGTGTTCGGTGGCGTTCAGCAAGTTGGACTGTCACCTCCCAGGCACTGTGTGCTGGGCTGACCTGGGCAGACTGGTCCTAAAGTCGTGGAGGGGGATCTCATCACAGCACATGCTTAGGAATGCTCACAGTGGAAAGGAGAGCAGATCCTACAAGCTCAGGTAGTGGCTTACCATAAAACTACACAGAGAGATCAAATGCGTTGCTCTATCTGCTATGTGATGCTCTAAGGAAGCAGAGACCAACCGTGTATCACTTGCAATGAAGCAGGAGGAGTCCCAGAACAGAAAGGCTCTGAAACACATCCCATCTTACTATGTCAACTGCACCCGAGAGCGAGTAAATACCTCCCTGGATAACCAAAGAATGGGATGGGATTCCAGGACTGCAACCTTCAGAAGGACAGGGGACGGCTGGATAAGGGATGATTTATGTCGGATGTTGGCAGGAGCATAGTTAAGGTGTTGGCATGCTCCACAACAGGAGACATGGTGCCTTTGCTGCTTGGCAAGGGAAAAAGACATGCTGATGCCAATGTAATTGCTCAAGACCTATACCAATTTATGTACATTATGCAAATGCAACACACCATTAAGTGCTGGCATGGGGCTGGGGAGCAGTGCGTAGGGACAGCCTCTGCACAGGACACACTCCATCACATGCTCTGCTCAGCTCCCCATGCTCAGTCCTGCACTATAGAAATGCACCTGCTCCAAAGCACTCTGTGGCAGACAGGCTGGAAGGGAAACCCCAAAGGCTGTTGTCTTGGATGAGGTTGCAGAGCATGAAACCACAGGCCCGGGAGAGCCCTCCAGAGCAGGTCACTGTGCTCCATGAGCAGCCATTCAATTTTGGAAGGGAAAAGCAGAGAGAAATGTCAAAACAATGAAGGAGAGATTTGAGCACTGTAAGACTTGCCTGTTAGGTCCTTTCCATTCCCAGTCAACAGCTCTTGCTGAGCTTAAGATGGATTCTAGCAGGGAAACCTGTAGATACAAGAGAACAGCTTGAGCAAAGTGAGAGGTATAGAATCATGGAACCATTTAGTTTGGAAAAGACCTTAAAGATCATGGAGCTCAGCTGTTAACCGAGCATCAGGCAAGTTCACCACTAAACAGGGCCCTTAAGTGCCACATCTACATGTCTTTTAAACCACCTCCAGGGATGGGGACTCCACCACTGCCCTGGGCAGCTTGTTCCAGTGCTTGATAACCCTTTCAGTGAAGAAATTGTTTCTAGTATCCACTCTAAACCTCCCCTGGTGCAGCTCGAGGCTGTTTCCTCTGATCACTTGTTACTAGGGAGAAGAGACTGACCTCCACCTCACTGCAGCCTTCTTTCCTATGAACCAGAGCCTTTAGAAAACCAGCTTTGCAAAGAGGGAAATCCCTCTGCCAAGCCACCATGCCTTTTGGCAATGCTGTTATTGTGCTCTGGTGTCCTAGGGCCCCTCTGGATTTGGATCCAGATCCCACTTCACGAGTCAGTTCCATCTGTAGCACTCAGCCACATGAGCACAGAAGGCAGCAGCCTGCAGTAACAGACCAGGAACAAGTGGGTATATTCATAGTAGTAATGAAATAGAAGAACAGATCGAACAGCTTGGGAGGAGTAATTGGTGCAACAACTCTCACCATCTTTTATGGCTATAGAGCATCTATGGGGGAGCTGCGGTTCCTTCACATTTATTCAAGGCTATTTCCTATTCTCACCTGTACTGTGGCTGTCGCTGTACTGCTCAGCTGTGACCAGGGGCCACATGAGATGGATCTTAGCTGGATAAACAGAGCTCCCTCTCAGTTCTGGGGAAGGGGTCAATGCTCACCCATGTCAAATCAACAGTAAATGCCAGTGAAATGTGTTGGCACAGACAGACACAGCAGCCAGACAAGGGCAAGAATGAAGCCAAAGGGGCTGGTGTAAAAATCACATTTCCAGTCCTAGAACAGTTGCTGCAGTATTTCCCCTGTTCCAGGAAACAGCTCTGCTGGGCCCCCTTTCCCACACCTGGGCTTCCATAGCTGGCTTGAGAGCACAAGCCCACAGCCCTGCCAGCTCTCGTGTCGTCAACATGAAGCTTATAATAAACAAGGTTTTCCCTGCAGCTTCAGTTTTAGCTCGCAGGGGCAACCAATGAGATGAAACTGAGAGGTTCCAGCGCAAACTGTGACCTGAGTGCCTAATGTTGGCAGGTTGGTCTCTAGATGCTCCTTCCAGAGGAGCACAGACGAGTTCGGAAGAGGAGCTTCACCACTCAAGTACTTGAGACAGGTGTTTTAAGGTGAGCAGCACAAATAACTTCACATTCCTCAGCTGGAAGAAAGAATATCCAGCCTTCATAGCTGGAAATGCAGTTTTTGAGTGCCCTTATGGTTTCAAACACAGAAAGCAGGAAAAACCCTCCAACAATTCAATCAGCCTTTCAAAACCTTTTTTGCTTGCCAGCCAAGGTCATCGTTTTGGCTGATGTGTTGGATTACAACCTCTCAATCCTGGACACCACCGCAGCAAGGAAATAACACATTTTTAGTGACTCAACCTGAGGATTTGCGGAAAGCGGAGTCATTCCAGTCTCTTTTGAGCTGGAATCCTGGAATATTCACTGCCAAGATTGAACCTGGTACAAAGAAAGATGTAGGAATGAAGAGAAAATTGAAGTCCAGGTTATAGGAGGATGTTTCCCACAGTATGAATAACAAGTGTTTAACCAGCACTAACCAGTCTGGTCCAGTGGGGCTTGCCCTCACTAGAGAGGGGCAACCCAGGTAGACAAGCTCTGCAGGGTTTAGGGCTCATTCTTACTTTATGGGGCTCCTCCAGGCCAAGACCTTGCCCTGCAGATCCAAACCCATCCCATTGCCTGTTGACTCTGTATTCAAGGCAAGAATTATCCTTAAGCCAGGAACACCTTGGGAAAAGGCCATCCTGACTGCACTAAAATCAACACTAAAACTCCATCTAAACTAATTAGGTTCAGTATTTTGTGCCATCATGCCTGTTAAATACATTTGGAGTGCCTTACCCAACTTTTGTGCTATATAAACAGTAATAAACCATGAACACAGCGTTTCTGCCCTTCTTTACATCATTTGCTTGTTAGTGGTTTTGGTTTTAAGGAACAGCAGTGAACAAAAGTCTGCCTGCTAATTAAGCCTATGGGGCACATAAGGCAGAACCTCCCTTGTGCTGGGTATTCACTTTTGCTCTTCTCCCAGCAATAAATCCAGCAGCAGGATGCTCGGCTGCGTGACTCAACACAGCTCAGGCCAGCTCACACAGTGACACACTGCTTGGCTCCAGCGAGGGCCTGGCCACAGCTGCATAAGCAGGAGACTGTGTTTGCTCCAGAAAGGTAAGACAGATCTGGAGATGACACTACCAAAATAAGGGTGGGAGAGGAAAGCCAGAGAGCTGAGACAAGGCAGACAGCCCGTGACAAGCTGGAATTACTATAAATATATATTTTTTTCTGGAATGAATATATATATGTGTGTATTTAAAGGAAGAGACTCCACTGATGGGAAGTATCTTTCTGGACACCAGTTTAAGTGTTTAAGATCTGAGTCTCCTTTTGCAGAACCCCCATGGAAAGCCCTTGAAGTTTGGGCTGTGCTCATCCAAAGGGAATTTTAAGCTGAGTTGCTTCCAGCCGTTTTTTTTGTTTTCTGGGAAACAAACAGAGCCCAAGCGACCAAATCCCAACTCAAGAGGCTCAGGCTTCTTCCAGCCCTCAGCTTCCTGGGCCAAGGGTGCAAAGTGCTGCTGATGTGCGTGAGCAAGCTCCATCAAGTGAGGATCCTTTGGGCTGGTCTCCTGTGCACCAGGAACATCTCCTGCCATGGCATGAGAGCCCCAGGCTCTCTCCCTAGCTCCTCCACTGTTTTACCACTTTCCTTCACTCACAAACCCCCAGAACCTGCCCGTGCCTCAGTTTCCCCTTAGAAAGCTGATAAAAAATAATCTCCCAGTTTTTTTTCTTCAAATGATGGTGATTTCTTCCTTTTACAACAGCAGTGAGCAGACACAGCCAAGATTAAAATCACACAGTAAAAATACACAGGAAAAGGCAGACCTGCTCCAGACACCGCTCTGCTCATAGACTGCAATCAGCCTGAACTGGGGGTGTTCATATGTTTTATCAAAGCATCAGCACTTGGTAAATAATACATCAATTCCCTGCTTCACAGGGTTGTTCTAAACCCTCAGTCATTTCAGATCTTGTATGGAATAGCGGTGTCAATGTCAGCCTTTCCCATGTGAGGCAGTTTATGCTGTTAAATCAGGGCACAATGGGAATAAGCTCACAAGTATTTTACCTGTAGCTTCCAACTGATGGTACCATTTCAGTCAATGCATATTTTCCTCTCTGGTTGCGCAAGGATAGTGGTCAGAAGAAGGTTGGTGGCATGTAGGAATAGCTGAGGTACAAAGCCAGAGATAAAGAGCTTTATGAAATAAAAAAAAACAATACAGAAAATCCCCTTGCATTCCTGGATCATCAGGAACCGACTGACTTACACTCCTGGCCATTTAAGTATGAAATAAATAAAGATGCTGTTGTTCATTTTGGGCGCGTGTCTAATCCCACATTCTCAATACAAACGCATTTAACCTTGTCCCTTTAAAAGAGCTCTGGACAATCAGAATCATCTTTACAGAAGGCTGCGCCTGCTTTTAAATTAGCTTTTTAAAAAGCAGCCATTCTCTCCTCCCCATTTTCCAATTCCCATTCACACTTGGCACAGATAAACACAAGCAGGCCAGGGCTAGGAGCCCTCCGAGTGCTTAAATGGAAACCATGCTTCAGCAGAGCAGCACTTTCCCCCACACAAGTGCACACTTTGCTGCCTGCCCGAGACCAGAGATCTCTTAAGTGCGTCCACAGCCCTTCAAATCACAGAAGTTTCAACCAAGCAGCTTGCAAAGCAACTGCACCAGTGTGGGACCACTGACAGCTCACCTGGGAGAGGGGTTCATACTCCAGCAACATCATGGGAAACACCTTATTCCCTCAGAAACATTCTTATCAGGTGCAGGCCAAATCTGCTTAACCTGATTTTTGCCTATCCTGGCCCTACAGCCAAGTGTCAAGTCCAGCTCCCAGCCCCACGGGGAGTCACCCATGACACTGACCTCTGTATCAAGCACAAACTTGGGAACCGATGCAGATTTGACCCATGACGTTGGTTAATAACCTTGCTATTAATCATCTTTGTCACTTCTCTGGTGCCTCCCATCTGTTGATCCAGAAGCACTTCGCAAGCTGCAGTGAACCAAAGTGATGGTGTGGGTTAAGAAGGGTATCTCCATCTTGCAGCTGGGAACAGAGGACCTCAAAGGGCTGTGCAATCACTGCTCAGGAGACGTGGGCTCGTGGCAGAACATGGTCCCACAGCCGCAGATTACTCTTGCCAATGCACAAAACCTGCTCCCACTGTCACCCTGAACACGTGGGAAACGTCCTCCCACCATGGGGCTGTGGTGTGGGGAAGGACCTGCAGTGGTGCTGTGCTGCCTGGCTGGAAGTGGTACAGAGAAATGACCTTGTTCAAGCTCAAGGGTGTGCTGGGTGAGGGAATCGCAACAGAGAAACTGGGGGGAAAGAAGTTTCCATGCTGCAGATGCTGGAACTGAACCACCCTTATCAACCCAGGGCTGCGTAATGGTGTGCTCAAATGATCAGACTGCTGTTCTGTCTGCAAGCTGGGGTTAAAATCCCAGCAGAGATGGTGGCCAGCTTGAGCACAGGGGGTTGTGCTACTTACAGGGCTGCTCAGCGCAGGCAGGCATCGCCGTGCTGCTCTCCATGATACCAGCACATCCCATGAGACTCCAATGGGGAAGGATGGAGTTTTGGTGACTGAGCATGGAGCCAGAATGTGGGTGTCCAGGGCCCCTCCTGGGGTCAGCCTCTGAAGCCTCCAAGCCAGTGGGTTCAAGCTGCAGCCCTAGACAGACCCAGGTAAAAGGAAACGTTATATCCAAGTCTGTGATCCCGATCTTGCCACAGTGAGATCCCATCCTCACCCCTTTTGGTCCTTCATAACTTTGGAAAATAAGAGTTATGCATCTGACCTATTCCATCCTCACGTACAACAGCAAGGCAAGATCCACAGAGTGAGGTATTCCCTTTTATTAGACCAGCTGGAAGCACTAGAGGGGAAAAACCAGACACATTATTAATACCCAAACTCCTCTTCAGACAGTGTGTGTAAGAATATTCCACACTGTGGTCTGCGACTGAATTTTCTGCTGATTTAATGATATCTTAAAGAGATTTCCTACAACCTAAACTGAACATTCACAGATCAGTATGGTTTATGTCTCAGTCTGTGCGTTAGCCACAAGAAAAGCACAGAAGGAGCCCTCGGTGGTCCCACATTGCACTGCACAAAACCCTACTGGGAGTACAGAGAGAACAACCAACAAACTTGTTACATGACAAAGATGGTTTGTCAAATAAAAATGTTTTTCAAACAGAAGATTTTCAGTTCTACATCACTGCATCCTCAACCCCCAAAAAATAGAATTTAGAGCAATTTTTCAGTACCAATGTGGTGTTTTTTTAATCAATAACTGTTCTTCAGTACTAAAAAATGTCTGGCTTTGCCTTCTGAAGCACTGGAAAAATAAACATCCCTTTAAACTTTTAGGGCAAACCCAGTATCTTCCCTCTCCTCCCCCGCTGCAGTTCCCAGTACAACATGTTTTAAAATAGGGAGCAAAAAGAAGCATCAGCATAGTTCAGTGCTGCATCTTCCCAGTAATGCTGGCTTTGGAGCTCACCTTGGTAGGCTCTAGGTGCAGCTTAGGCAAGCCCGGCTTGCAGGGAGCTGGCAGAAGTGGTGCAACCCCATCAAGACAGGCTGGATCGTGCATCAGTAAGACTGGTCCAAATGTTTAGATTGAAACCTATATTACAAATTATGGCAGCGAGGAAAAAGCTCCTCATAGCCCCCTGTGTATTTGAGAAAGGGCAGACTATCCCGCAGGGAAGATGAGGCAGAGCACGGAGCTCCGTGGCTCTCCTGCAATTCTCTCCACCAGCTCATCACTGCTTTAAGGTGGAATCATGCAGGAGTTTTTCCACCGAGAGGTGCTTTGAATACAGCGGGGTTTGCAGACACCCACGTGGTGGAAAACGGGTTGGGTTGTCTGTTTTTAAGGGTTGTTATGGTGAAACCCAGGTGACGGGATGGGATCGATGGGCAGGGGTTCGGAGACCTGGACATCATGGCTGGCCGCACTCCCAGCTCGGCTTGCTGGATGCCAGTCAATGCACACAGGATCTCTTCATCTCCCTTTCTGTCACAGTTCAACAAGGTTGTTTCTTAAGAGTGTTAAGGAGCTAAATCCATAAACATGTGAAATTTGCTCTGAGATCTCTGTGGGATGGGCACACAGCGTGCCAAGGCAGCACACCTTGGAGTGCGGCAAGCGCTAGCCTGGTAACTGCAGGTTATTGTGTTTAGGGGGATTAAACTCCAGGATTCTGACCTGGTGCAGCCAGGAGGGTGTAACAGCCCCTCCACTGTGTAAATATCATTCCCAGCTCCATTAGCGAGGGGTCCCTATGGTGGGGAAAAGCTGAGACACACACCAATGCCATTCAACAATTGGTTATCAGGGGTTTTTGTCCCTACCAGAGGCTCTCTGGGGGAAGCTGGAGGCATTTGCCTTTTATCCAACCTTATTTTAAGGCTCTCATTTCTCCTCACCTCCCTTCAATACTTTGTATTTTGGCAGGGGGGAACACAGCAAACAGCACAACTGATTAAGAACTCGACTGTGCCTGACTATTTGCTTTCCAGCCTGCCCAGCCATAATGGGAGCAGTGGTCACTTTCCGAAGAACTAGATATATCCAACTCGGGGAGAGGGAATCAGAGCCATGCAGATAAGGCTGTCATCAGAGATAACAGCAGTCAACAACCCTCAGCGTCATTATCTCAGCAAAGGGAAAAAGCAGGCAGCTCCCCTTAATATACAAAGTGCAGCGGTTATATATGTCTCCTTTACAATGATAGATGGCAAGGGATAAAGGGGGAAATCTAACAGAAAGCCTTCAAAGCCAGCCTGCCTCACATCCAAACTGGGAATGTGTTTCCATCGAGGCAGTGAGCAGCCTCCCCCAGCCCGCACCCGCTGGCCGAGCGCGGTGCCTTTGGCAAAGCCGCTTTCCCGACGTGGCTCTGAGCGAGGGCTTTTATTTCCCCCCTCTCCCTTGGTGAGCAGAATTCCTTAAGATGGAATAATGAAGCGGCGGTTGTCAAACACGCCGAACTGGAAGGCAAACAAATTGGCTGGATCAGGCCTTTTTAACTTGAAAAAATAAATAGAATAAACGTGAATTTATTTGCAATGCTTTGATTGCTCTCTGAAACCATTACACTGCTAAGCCCCTTTTTACCTTATAATCAAACTCCAGGAGCAGAACACTCTCCGGCGTGTCGCCACGGGATTTAACAGGCTGCATCCTCCTCACCGTGCACACACACATGCACACACCGTGCACGAAACAACGCTCCCTGCCACAGCCTGCTGCCTCCAAACAGCGACCACGACACCAAACAGCACTGAAACACCAGCCCTAACGTGATGACGGGATGTAATTTCCCCCTTTCCAACACACAGGCCGGTTTGTGAAGCCCCAGACAAGCCGATCCCCAAAGAAACACCTTCATCAAAGCCCCATAGGAAGCAAGGCAAATAAATAAGTCAAAACGCAGGGAAAAGGAAAGTGGCAAAATCCTAAATAAAACGTCTGGCTCTGATTTCTTTATGTGCATTTCTGAAGTGAGAAGAAGCACACAGAAGGGCATTTAATTAAATCAAAGGGTAAAGGAAGGGGCTGCCGTGCAGCTTGCTATTATGTTACAGTTCACTAAAATGAAAACTTATTTTTAAACCTCTGGTATTAATTTGAGATTATTCAGATACTTAATTAAAAGTGCAGCATGTGTTAAATATTATTTCAACAAAGATTATCATCAAAACCCTATGTAATAAGATCCTTCAATGCTTAGAGCGATATTTTATGCAAATTCTCTATGCCACCAAATGAAGGTCTCTTCAATTCTTTTTTTCCCTTCTCTTCTTCATTTGCTGCAGCAAAATGTTCCAGGCGGGAAGAAAAGTTTCTGGAATAAGGAGGGTACTACAGATAATGCAGCAAATAGCAATGCAGTGGTGGTCACGTTTCTGTGCTCAGCTCCCTGCCTGATACCACTTGGCAATAAAGGACTAGATCAAACAGGCTCCCATCAGAGCTGAAGGGCTGAAATTTGCTCCAACTGAGGTTACAGACGGTGTAAGCCAGAGTACATTTGCCCTGGCAAAACCCTGCCAGAGTAAGAGAGGCAGGAACTTGTGCATCAGGAATGAACCAACTCTTTATACCTGGATCACGTAAGATAACGCAGATTCCAGGGCAAACAATATGTTTTCCTGTGTGAGATTTCTGCTGTGGCCTTTACTCCTGGTGACTGGAGTCAGTAAAGTAGATAGCAACTAATCCTGCAAGATTAAGGTTCAGTGCTAAGTTTTCAGTGTCGCTTATGCAGTTAGATTATTATTATTTCTTTAGGAAAAAGAAAGAAAACACATTACTTGCTCTGAGCGGCACTCTTTTGCCTCAAACCAAGCAAATAAAAAGCCCAGAAAAATCAGATACTTGCACAGAGTCCCCTTTTACACAATGGCTTCGTCAGCCCTGCCACAAGCAGACTTCATTTATTGATCGGTGCTGCACTTACTCTCTAACAAACACAGGTCCCCAGGAAAGACTTCATTGTTTAAAGCAAACGCAATAGTCAAGGACTTGCACGTCCTTTTATAACCTATAAAACACTGAAACTTCACAATACACAACAACCTCAACAAGAATCGTGCTTGTTGCTCAGTGTGCATCCAATACAGTGATTTTCTAAACACTGGGAAGAGCTTCCATTTACTAGAGGCTGCTGTCAAAATATAGGAAAAGCAACTACTTTCAGTTTCGGGAATAGTTCAAACCGTCATCAAAAAGCAGCACAAAAAGCTCCCAGAGCACCAACTACCCACAAGAATGTTTTCAGTGCATTAAAGAATCTGCCCGTATCTAACACCCCAGCCTCTCTCTTGGCTCCTTCACTCTGAATTCACGTCTGTCGGGAGCCCCACCGAAATGACGAGCCATGTATTCACCCTGCTGCAATCACAGACCCTGAGAACAGCGATGGAAACCGCCAAAGGTGGGATATAACAACGGCTGCTGGGTCGGGGGAAGCTGCTCCTGCAACTCGAGCAAGAGCTAATGGGGAATAATAATTAAAAACTATCGAAGTCAACAAATCAGAGCAGCAGAACGGCAGCCGTGGCTTCACACTGGGAGCCAGGAGGGGGATTCCTCAGGGGTGGGTGAGGATTCTGTTTGCTGTCCTCAGAACAAACTGCAGTGAAGGTGTAATCAAGTGTGTTTAAGATGAACAGAAATTGTGGCTCCGAGGAGCAGCGCCCATAGGGAACTGTTGCTCTGTGTGTGTTTGGCTGCAGACCCGCCAGGGCAAGCAGCTTGCCCTTGCACTTGCCTGTAAAGTTCAGAGCTGGGCACCGGTGCTACCGGCTGTGGAGTAACAAATCCACATGGGATCCGAAAGGTTTTAGATTGGGTTTGCTTTGGTTTTGAAAGGATTTTGTTAGCAGGCAAAGAGAGAGTTGGAAAAAGTAATAATCATGGGCTTAAATACTGAATGCGTACTGAAAGTAGGGGAGTACAAAGTACTGAAATAACAACTAAAAGACAATCCATTGTGTAATTTAACCATAGCTATATCTTGAATCAAAGATCTAAGCATAACACAATATATCATCTTGGGTTTCACACGTACCCACACGCAAATAAAAAGCTACCTTTATGGGAACTTACACATTCTATGGTCGCATTTACTCTGCTGCTCTTCAGGGGGTAT